AATTGCGATATTGATTGATTTTGTAGGTGTGAAACGGTTCGGTACTTAATTAAATCATTAATTAAGCAGACTCATTGTTTCCCGTCTCTGGCAATGAATCAATGATGCAATTTTTAATGAGTCGACGAAAATGAAATTGTTTAATCGTTTAGTAATACGTAAAAGTGATAAATTATTTAAATGACATAAAAACGTTCTCATGACTGGTTAATTAAATCCACGACGTTTCATGTGTCAATTTAATGTTCAATTGACACGAAATAAATTATTTTCACATTGAATAAAACATAGGAGTTACCATGAAAATCCTGTGACGTAGTTTCAAATGGTAACTGACAGACGGTAGAAATTTGGTCGACAGGTGAAATGGATATCAAAGGAAGATTCCGGCTGATAATTATGGCTGATTGCCTTAATGTAGAGCTATTGTTGGGAATCACGTTTGAGAAGGCAGGTACTTCCGTTAGTTTCATAGTAGTTCGACTGCGCCGGGAGCGCACATTAATAGTGCTGAGTAGAATTTACATTGATGAATGTATCAATGATTAACGACCGTATTATTGCGATAAATGTCCCATGTGAAATAAATACAATACCCAGATAAGCAAGCTAGCTGCCTGTTTCAATCCCACATCCTCCATGAATTTGGTAATAGGAATTTACTTCATCAATGCAAAATATAAGGATTTATAACATATTTTATAAATAAAAATAAGAAGAATACTAAGATGGTTTATAAAATTGTTGAAAATTTTTTTACCAACATTTAGAATCCACGTGAGTGTCTGTTCAGTGGATGAAGCAGAATCGTGTGACGAAATTGGCAGAAATTTGGCTGTTCTGCTCTTCAGGCAGATCAAAGCCAGCCGGATCAAAACTGAACAAGATAATTCCTGCTCATTGAGGATTGGTACAGAGAGACAGAGGATGTATCCGTGTAAGTACGTAACCGTCACAATACCCGCATCGCATTTATGCGACCATTGACAACCGGGCGCGTTCTCCAGGGCTTAACAAAGTTCTTCTGAGTTCTAACGAGCTTACTCTTGGCAAAAGCCAGTCAAGTGCACGGCTTCCGTCGTGCGTTGCGATGCAATGGCTAACCTACATACCGACATATTATTGCACCCGATTCGCGTCGCAACCTGTGTACCAGCGCGCAGTTCTGTGTACTTACACCGAGCGTGCCAATGCACTTCAACACGGTTGTTCAGTTCCCGCAGTTTCTCCTATTGCCGCAATCTTCGACAAGTTAGCCACGTTCGCGTACCGCGAAACGCTTCGATAAATTCGATCACGACGTTTCCATACACCGGACAGTTTCGAATGTTTCTTACGGTTGCACAACCCCTCGAATACCTTCCTTCTTTGTAAATATCACTTTTTTTAAAAAGCTTATCGCCTCAAATATTGGACATAGTTTTTTACCACATTTCTTACACTTTTGGGAGAGATTTTACAGCGCATACGACTTATCTCTTTTATCTTTCATCGCATTTATTTATTCTATTGTTTCAACAAAAGAAAAGAATTGTATTTTTGAACAAAAGCTGGTTTCGTTTCGACGTTATAAAAAATAAACAGCATTAAAAAGATAATAACAGATACTCTCTGGGTAACAATAGGATCTGTACAACTTCCAAAATGTCTAACTAAAATCTGACACGGAAACCGTGCTGCTTGACTTTCGTCGAGTCGTTCGCAATTTTCGACTCGAGTCTCAAAGGAGTCCTGATCCTAAACTCGAGCTGTCGCGGCGACCGTGTTATCGGCACGCGTATTTCCATAATATGTACACAATTGGGGCCAAAGCGTCCGAAAGCACGAAACGCCAGTGCGATCGCATTGCCGGAGGTTCGTACGCCGCGACGCGACGAAACTCCCGTCCAATTTCATCCAAAACCGGGCAAGAGTCGGCCAACTACGTACGAACGTACGTACGTATCCGTCCCGGTCCGGCCATTCTGGCCGTAATTGAATACTCAATAGGATTTACCAAAGCGGACCAACGCAGTGGCCGCCACGCTGTCGATCGACACAACACACGCCAATATTTGATCCGTGTCAAAAGCTTCGAGGTAGATTTGTCCGTAGGTTTCGAAGGGTCGTTAAACTCGACGGTGAGCCCTCCACCCCCGGTTCCATCGATAAATTGTTCAGTGTCTCCCTATTTCGATTTCATTGTCTTCGACTTTACGCTAAATCTTTTTTTTTTTCCTCTTTCATTAAGCATTCCCTTTGGTCGACGCGAGCTATGCTGCCTGTGTATTTTTACATTTTATCCGATCCCTGACACACTAGCTATTTAAAGCGTTAACCACTTAAATCAATACGCAGGAAAACCTGATTCTTCGACACTCTCAAAATGTCGATGTTAAAACCGTAACCAAATCACATAAACCTAAAAGGCAAGAATTTGTCTATCTTTCAGCTGAACATTTTTTCAGTCTTCCATTAACCATTTTGTTCATTCCGGTCTGAGTTGCTCTACTTTTGTATTTTTATACTTTATCCCATGCGGGACACGAAGCATTAGTCACTTAAATCAATCTGCAGGAAAACCTGATTCTTTCAAAATACCGATAGTAAAGCGAAAACCAAGCGACACATATAACATAAAAGAATTCGATTCCCCATCGGTCTTCGTAAACACAATCAGTGACTCTTTTCAATAGAAGTAAAGATATAAACAAGTAAGCGCTAGTTAAAAGTACCGTTCGTCTTCAATCAATACTAGTTACATTGATTCTCTGTAACGAAGCTCATAAAACACAACGGTAAGTATTTTCCCATTTCTATTTCAGAGTTCACAGGAAAAAAGCCGAGCTGCCAATGACTGAAGTTTCTATCCGACCGCGTTTAATTCATCTTCGTTCCGTTCCCACTTACACCCCGTGCTTTCATCCTTTTTCCTCCAATCCCTTTTCCTCGTTCCATCAGATGGACGTTTATCCCGGTCTTTAACGGCGGTTATCGGCGCGTCGTATTTTACCGCCGATAAGCAGATATAAGCGAAACAAGACCGGGCGACGACGGCCAAATCCACAGGTGCGGTCGAAAGGGTGCTCACGTCGCGCGGAAACGCCTTTGAATCGACGGGACACGACCGACGATGACGACGACGTCGAAACCGTCGCGTATGTACACACGAGCAGAACTTAGTGCCTTCCCCGTTTCACCCCTGACCCTCTCGTTTCCGAGCTGCAAAAGCTATTCAAGGTAAAGCGTATATATTCTCCGGGCCCGTTCTCGATTTCACGGGGCGACAACCTTCGAGCCGCTTCGTGCACGAATCGTTTTATTTCGAATCATGTCTGGACCGAAGCGAGTTCTCTATTGCTGGTGGTGGTAGCCGGTCTCTTTATTTCACGCAAAGAAAATTACATTTTCCGTGTGAAAAGGTCCAGGCGTAAAAGGATTTGAAAACGAGCGGGAGAACCTAGGAAATTAACTTCTTTCTCTCACCCATCGACGAATCGGTGGGAAAAACGCGCGCGTTATTGTTCCCGTTAAGCTGACGTGCAAACAGCTGGAGTTCCAAAGAACGGTGCCCCGGTCGCGGACGCGGCCGAAACGATAACGGTGGAAATTAGCTTCCGAACGAACGGGAGCGAGTTCCATGGGGCGATTTCATTACTATCAATCCGGCGGTTATCGTAATACCCGGGGGCTGCTAGTTTCTTCGTTCCCGCGCGAAAGAGATTAGTTTCCGGCAGATGAAAGACGGCCGCGATGGAACGTTGGGACAAAAGCGGACAGGGATGAATCGAGCGGGCCGTCGCGTCGCGCTCACCCTTTTACCCCCTATCGAACTTGCCGTGAAACGTGCTTTATTGTTCTCGATAATCTGTCGTGCGTCATGGTAATGAAGTGGAACGAATTCGACGAGAGGTTCTCCGGTCACCGGAAAGCGCGGTCGTTAACCGATGAAATTAATTTCACCGACTGCCAAGTTTTTGGTGTTCGCAAGTAGGGAAGCTCTTTAACCGGGAGTCACTTTTACGTGATTGGCGAGCGTGGACGCGATAAAAGCGATCGAAAAAAGGATCGTTTTCCCGCGGAACAAACGCGAGAACGCGATTATCACGTGCGCCCATCGAACATCAGCGTTAATGACGTAAAATGAATTCGTGAGTAGTCGCATAAAACGTGGCCGCGCCTGTACTCTACGCCCCGATCGATTAATTCGATTTATTTTAATTTAATATCCGCGGCTCGGCTACATATTCTAAAACACTGCCCTGGACCAATTTGATAATTCGATACTTCTATAAAACAGCACGGCGGTAATGCGGCTTCGTTTTATTAAATTCTCCACACGCAAAGGATAGGGTCGAATCGAATTTCCAGCGACACATTATCATTAACGCGAATGACTGAAATAATCTCTTGACCCTATCTTGCGACTGATTTTCCCAATTTTTTTTTTACATACTTTTTAAATTTGATTAAGCAGCCGCGCGAAATTGCTTTTCACATGAGAACCATCTCGATTCTTGTTACCCGCGAATTCGACTTTATAACACATTATCATACGAATTGCGTTGTAACAAAAGAATTCTAAAAATTACTAAAATTATCAAGTACATACATAAGTATTGAGGATAATCTACAGAAAAGAACTTATCGACGTGAAACAAAATTTCTGCTCGTATGTAACATTGTAATTAAAATCAATAAATCGCTGCGAATTTCGAGTCAACGAGCTTTTCAAACTAATTCAATTTCCACTTATAAATATGGATATTGTGTCAAACATTTAACACTTCCGCGTATGTTTTTAATGGGCTTGTGAAAATTATTGATGCAAGAGTCACGGAATTCTAGTTCATCGTCATAGCATGACAACGCGTATAGACAATCAGAATCGTTCTTGCGCATGCAAGTTTGGTGTATCGGCAGAACTTTTGTTTCAAATTAATCCGAGGAATAATCATAATCACTGGCGATTACGAATAGATCAATGAAGTAAGCAGGTTCATGCAAGAAATTTTACTCACGATGTTTGACATGCAGCCTAGGAACGGGATCCTGCGGCCAAGCCACGTTCTGCGCAACTAAGCTGATTAGCGCCAAAACTTGCAACGACGTGCTCATTTTGGAAGCGAGTGGCCCTGCAGGGTATCCTATGAATCAGCGGTAGCTGTCAATCCTCGTCATCGCCGCTCTGATCGTCATTCCTGAAAAACAAAGAGAAAAACACGTCAGTTACAAGCGTACTCGCTCCTTCACACAAGCTAGTTGCCTTAAGGATGTATAGGCTATGCATATACTTAGACAATGCTAGCATGTTGAATTTGTTATTATAGATTCCTATTACTATTAAAAAGCTAAAATTATAGTGATTTCAAA